AAAATCATAAGAGGAAGTCTCAAATTAGATAGCTGAATAAAACACGGAATCCCAACATGTATCTCTACCCAAGAACTGGAGTCACATACTCACGAACATCTAAGGAGTACTAAATACAAAGTCTGAAAGAAACGTAAATCTATTTATCTCGAATACAATGAGATGACAGTATAATGTAAGGATAGAGGAGACGCCGGGCCTGCGGACGCCTGCAAGGCTACCTCGGTGTCTCGATGGAATGAAAGTCTGCTCCCGTGCTAATGCTGTTGCTGCTGCTCGAAACATGGACCTGTGCAAATAGCACAGAGTCTAGTATCAGCACAACCGACCCCATGTGCTGGCAAGTGTCTAGCCTAACCCCGACGAAGTAGTGACGAGGCTAGACCAGACTACCACATAAACCTGTGCAATTCAAATATATACATGCCGCAGAAAGAAATACAGGAAGTAAACAGTCATTAAAGGAAGGGGGAAACATGCGGTGGGGAGACAACAGTTACAACGGAAATCTCAATATAAAGATAGAGGCAGCCAAGAGAATCTATAGCTAATAACGAAACAAATATCCTAAATAAACACACTTGAATCGGCAATTGTTGCAGCGCGCAACCCGATCCCAATATATATCATTACTGTTGCGGCGTGCAACCCAGTCCGTATCATTTAGCATTGTTGCAGCGTGCAACCCGACCCTCAAATATCACTGTTGCGGCGTGCAACCCGATCCTCAAATATCACTGTTGCGGCGTGCAACCCGACCAATATCGTTTAGCATTGTTGCGGCGTGCAACCCGACCCTCAAATATCACTGTTGCGGCGTGCAACCCGATCCTCAAATATCACTGTTGCGGCGTGCAACCCGACCCATATCGTTTAGCATTGTTGTGGCGTGCAACCCGACCCATATCGTTTAGCATTGTTGCGGCGTGCAACCCGATCCATATATATATATATATATATCACTCTACCTCACCCAAACAACAGTCACAAATAAGGGCAAGGGAGTAAATAAACAAAATGAAAATCCCGGCAAGGGAGCACACAACAAACAATTAAAACCCGGCAAGGGCACAACATCAATAAACTCAATATCCCGGCAAGGGAGAAAAACCAACAAAATCAACAAAACGTCCCGGCAAGGGAATAACCAATAACTCTTTCTCTTTCTTTCATTTCTTACCTTATGATTCACTTTTAACACTTGAGCCAAGCTCCAAGGAGTTACTTATCTCATATACCGTCACAATCTACATTTCTCAATCGAGCCAATGCTCCACGAAGTACCAAGATCACAATTTCTATCACAAAGCCTTTACCACATATAGAAATCATCAATTAAACATGGAAGGCATAACAACAACCAACCATACGCAAATAAGGACTCACGGTCATGCTAGACACCAATGTATAGATACTCGTCACCATGCCTATACATCGTTCTCGATCAATTAGCTAATAGCAACCAAGACTCAACTCCTATTCCCTCAAGCTAGGGTTAAACCAAACACTTACCTCAACTTCCACGGCTAAATCAATCCACAACGACCGCCTTCCCTATCGACTTCGGCTCCAACTCAATCAAATCTATGAAATAACGACTTTACAACATATATAAGCTAAACAAATAAAACCCAATGCCTAAATATAGTTTTCTAAGCTTTCTTCCCAAAATTCCAAAAATCGACCCCGGGCCCGCTTGGTCGAAACCCGAGGTTCGAATCAATTTCATATCACCCATTCCCCCACGAGCCCGAATATACAATTTGTTTTCAAGTTCGACCCCAAAACGAGGTCTAAATCAAAGAAAATTAAAAAGCCCTAACGCTACCCAATTTCCACCCTAATCTATGTGATTTAAGCTTAGGAATTCACTAATTAATGAGAGAAAATGAAGGAAATAGGTGGGAAATTACTAACCCAAATGGTCTTGAAGAATGGGGGCTTCAATGGACTCCTAGAGCTTGGGGAAGAAGAGAGCTCGTGAAAATTTTGGAACTAAACCCGTCACTGTTCTGTTTTTGAAGCATTAAATGACTGGGCAAAAATGCCCTATGCGTTCGCGACACAGGGGTCGCGTTCGCGAAGAAGGGGGAGCTGGCAAGCATCGCGTTCACGAGAGGGGGATGCGAATGCGTAGGGTAAAATACTGGGGTCCAGGGAATTGGCCTATGCGAACGCGATAGGGGATACGCGAACGCATTGAATGAAAGACTGGAACAACGCGAACGCGTGAAGGCCTTGCGGACGCGAAGAGGAAGTTGTTGTGCTCCTAATTTTGGCTTACGCGATCGCAATGGTGGTGACGCGAACGCGAAGGAGAAAAAACACTGAAGCTATGCGAACGCGAGGGTGGAGTGCGAATGCGAAGAAGGAATTCACTGTGCACCAACAGCAGATTTTTCTGCATTTTCCTAACTCCAAAACCATCCCGAACACCTCCGAAAACACTCTCGGGCCCTCGGGGCTCCTAACCACTCACACACACTAACTCAACAACATCCTACGAACTTACCCGTGCGATCAAACCGCCAAATTAACATAAAAAACAATGAATCAAACCTCAAAATCATCACTTTTTCATCAAACTTCATAAGCACATATAAGACCTGTACCGGCCGCCGGAACCAAAATACGGGCCCGATACCAACACGTTATAATCCATTTCCATTTCAAATTTCCATATTAATTTTAGAAAAACAATTTCACAGAAAAATTCATTTCTCGGGCTCTAGACCTCGGAATTCGACTCCGGGCATATGCCCGAGTCTCATATTTTTCTACGGACCCTCCGGGACCGTCCAATCACGGGTCCGAGTCCGTTTACCCAAAATGTTGACCAAAGTCAACTTTAATCATATTAATAACAAAATTCATCATTTTTCACACAGAATTCATATTTAAGCTTTCTGGCTACACGCCCGGTCTACGCACGCAAATCGAGGCTACTAAAAATGTGGTTTTCAAGGCCTCGGAAGCGCGAAAAGGAGAGAAAACAGGTGATGACCCTTTGGGTCGTCACATAGTGCAGAAAATCAACTCTTCTTTAAATCCACCGATCTCCATCTCCATCTCAATCTCAATCTATCTAGGTGTGTGCGTGTGTGATTACATGTGTTTCAAAGATAGCCACCTTTACCCATTTTATAAATCACGCCAACCAATGATAAGCAACTTGCCTGTTACATCACCCTACAATCTCTATCAGAAGCTGCTAAGATGCTTCATTTTCCTTTCATTAGTCTCAATGTACTAAACATAAAAAAAAGAGACTTCAACTGAGTTAACTAAAATATTAAACTAATAAGAAAATACCTACCTAATAGGCATGCACCACGCAGAATATATTCGATGTGCTTTGTATATTGTGTTACATTAGTAATTAAAATAACTTCTCATTCATCACAAATAATATACATGTACCCAATCAAACAGTACCAAGGGAGTAGCTTATCAACTATTCTCCTAAGTAAGAAGAGACATCCTTTTTAGGATTCTATAACTGTAAAATTCTTTGGCTACAGATTGTTGCATCTGCCACTTCGTCAAAGGCGAAAATGTATGCATCTTTATTTCTTCCTTTAAGTGTAGAAGTTTAGTACTTAATAGATATTGTAAAATCGTCCTCCTAGTTTTTGAAATTTGCTGTGTGAAAATCAGACCTGAAGGATTTATTTGGTGACGGCAAGTGGGTTATTTCGAGTTTGCGACAGAAAATGACTGTAAGTTTCTTCTTGGTGCATAATTTTGTTTTGTTGGTTAGTACGTAACATGAGCATTCTGTTGCCAGCTATTTAGTAATTTACCTAACCTATCTTTCTTCAGGTTAGAGTCTGATGATTCTTGTGCAGATAACGAAGCCACATTGGGTAGGATGAACACCTTTCTTGATGATGCGC